AACACACACGGCACTCGAAAAAATATTCAGCAGCCGACAAACTTGGGGTATACCGACCTTGCTGTACCACCCCACAGCCACTCGCCTGCATGTGCGGAGTGTGCTGCAGCTGCAGGGCATGGGCGTGGGCGCTGGCTGCCGCGGCCTGTTGATGAGCCACGTACAGCTCATGCTGGCGCAGCATTGTCTGGTAGGTGAGCGACAGGGGGTGGTGGTGGTGGGGGGCGGGCGCCCCCCCTGCCAGCAGCGGTGGCCACAGCGGGGGTGGCGTTCGCTCCAGAAGTTCTGCCGCTGGCAGAGGGGAAACGGGGTCATCACAAGGACGCATACAGTGCCGGTTACGAGGGCTATATGACCATACTTCACCCCGTTGGTCAGTGCGGAGGAGATTAACGTGGGTGACCCAGCACCATTTCAGACAGCGCTGGCCACTGGACATCAGCCGTCACGGGCTTGGTTCGTAGAGCACCATGCGATCACACCGAGAGAGATTGCTTGGTATGCAGCCCAGTGGGAGGGAGGGGTTCTCCTATCACTGGTCGACGGGACCTAGTGGATGCGATGCTCTAGTTCAGGGCGGGGAACCTTTTTTCTGCCAAGGGCCATTTAGATATTTATAACATCATTCGCGGGCCATACAAAATTATCAACTTAAAAATTTGCCTTTTATATTTGGTCAAGCATTTAATTAACTCACCCCCCTAATGCGATGGCTGGAACTGCTTCTCTTTGGTGAAGCGCGTGATGTTAGCTGCTATTGATGATGTTGCTACTCGGAACTGCTTTTCCAGGTTTCTCCGAGACTTATTGAATTTCGAGTCCCGCCTGCGGTTGCCTCGGCAGTGCCAGACCAAATGATTTCGCGGGCCTTATACAGCCCGCGGGCCGGACGTTCCCCACCCCTGCTCTAGGCCCAAACCTTAAGCAGACAGCCTCAAAACCGAGCCTCGGGATATAGTGGGTGTGTGGGCGTATGCGTGCGTGCAGGGCCGCATGTGGAGGTGTCCATGCTACCGTAGTGAGAGGGGAAGTCGGTGGGCACCACTACGAGGTGGCCCGTGGCTGGGTCACGCGCAAGCTGGTAGTTCGGAGTGGCAGGCGGCGCCGCCAGGCCGGGAGGGAACGCTCCTGCCATACTCTGGTGGAGAGAGAAGCCACCCAGGCCTGGGCACACACGCAAGGGGAGGGACGCACCAGTGATTTACCTATGCCAAAACGCAGTCAGTCAATCTGCAGCCGGCATCTACGGTTAAAATAATTGTCTACGAGGCCTGTCCATAAAACAAGGTACGATGTGGAGTTATACATGCTAGCATAGACTCAGAGAGCTATAGACCCACATATGTAAAAGATGAAATGGTAGATCTGTTGTGTCCGAGTTTCTGCGGGAGTATATCGGTCTATGCATGTCAAAGAGTCTACGGGAGGGAGAGAGGCACACTCGTAGGAAGTTGAGACGAGGAAGATCTTCAATCATGGACTTGAACAGGGGCAGGGAGTGCACAGTATGGGCTCTGAAAAAGGCGGGGCCCACGGGTGGAAGCGCTCACCGTAGGGTGGTGCCCCGAGCCAAAGCGAGGGACTTTCGGTCCTCGGCAGCCAATGGTGCGGGGCGACGTGAGCGTGCGGCGCATTGAGCTCTCCCCACTGGCCAGCGTGCATGATGGGGGCAGCCCCCCCTCCAGTGGTCACCACGAGGTTGGGGTCCAGGTCGGCGAACGAGGTAGGCCTGAGGCTGCGCGCAAACTCTGCCAACTCCTTGTTCTCCCTGTTCCCAGAGACGCCCCACCCCCCCAGCACAGAGGGGTACGAGCACAAACGAGATTCAGAGTCGTCAAAATCGCCCACCCTTGAACTACAAAACGCTCAATATCAAGTTAAAAGGTTAAAGTCACGCATTTTTTTTTCTGCCCAAAATCGTAAACATTTAGATTCTGTACGCAAATTTTGCTTTTAAACTGTTTGCTTAAATCGTGGGATTACCCAGTGTGCCAGGCATTTGCATCGGGAACACTGCCCGCTTCAATCATTGGCCAACACCAATCCCGATATGCCACGTTCCGTTCACAACCTCCAAGTTGCTTACTCCATTCGTCACCCCACACCACTACTTGTATTACAACCTCACCTTTCAAAAAAGACAGCAACACGCACCAATAGTGCCATGGTGGGTGGGGGTCGGGGGATTGCATTAATTTCCTACAGTGTCCCGAGCAAGTTATGGAAACTCCATATTCCTGCAGCGAGGGCAGTTTACACCCAGGACGAGTGTCATTGGAGAGCGAAGGAGGTGGAGCGGACGATGCATTTCGGGGGCTAAAGGGGCTTCACCTGAGCAGCTGCTCACGCTCCCGCGCTCGCTCAGTTGCATGGTCACGTGCCGCCCTCTCCTCCTCCTCCTGTGCTTCTGGCACTGGGCCTGCGTGGACACAGCCTGCACGCACACAAAGACATAGACCCCCTGTATAGCCTTAACAGGACTGCTGGGATAAGTGCTGTTAGCGAGTAGTAGCTCGGAAGGCCATGACATATGGGGTTGGGAGGGGGTGGCCAGCACCACGCCTGGCCACTTTTGTTTCCCCCTAGTGGCGATGTTGACGACAAGCACACCAGTAAACCGAGGCGGGGCCCAGGACCAGACGCACACGTATGGACACAAATGGTTACTTAAAAAGATACGCGGATATGTATGCACATACGGGTATGGTACATGGAAGTACAGATGCAGACAGATGGACAAACACAGATCCATAGAAAAGACAAGATACAAAAAAGTAGTGGCTGGCACTAAAACACTGCCCCACCACACACGCGCAGGGCTACCTGCCTTACACACCACGGAGACCCCGACCCTACGCATACCACCACAACCGCCATTCAGTGGAGGCGACGTCACCAGGGCGATGTGCCAGGCAAGGTGGACACCGCGCAATCCACAAACCTCGGCACCACGAACACCACCACTGCCCACACCATAGATACCACCGGTCAAAACCACACTACGTCATGCTCTTGCAGTGCTGCGAGCGAGCACCTATTAATGCCGACGTACACCGTGCTGTTGTTGTGCATCGATGCGTTGTCACCTGGCGTTCCCGGCTGAAAACCGAGACGTGGAGGTCGCGCGAAAGTGGAGATTGGTGCGAGAAGTTCCCCCCCCCCCAATGCCCCTGACCCCCCCCCACGAACCTCCAATTGCCCCCCACCTCACACTCCTCCCTCCATGCCACTCCCCGTTGGCAGAGGCTCCTCCGCACACCGCCTTTGTATTTCTCAAACAGATCGGAGCAGAGTCGAGACGGGTGAAGCCCTCCATTGGGCCGCCACCCATTCTTCTCCGCCACCCCCCCCCCCCCACACCGAATCTCTCCCTTCCCCCAGCTGACCGTGTCGTACACTCCCTTACCGAAAGCCCAAGCGTTCGTGAGCTCTTCTCCGCTTCCCTCTCACCTCTCCCATAAGTGCCACGGTGGCGAGATAGTAACTACCTCTAGATTTGAAGCTTTCGTGACTGCAAGGATTCACTCTTAGTTCTTTCGGTAAAGTCACGTAGGTAAAAAAATGAAATAAAAATTTTAATTTCATTTTTTTACCTACGTGACTTTACCGAAAAAACAAAGAGTAATAACTACCTCACTTGGTATGCAAGAGGTCGTGGGTTCGATTCAGACACCCATTGTGGATTTCAAGTGTGCGTGCCTCTCGCTCAGAATTTTTTTTTCTATCCAGGTCGTCTGGTTTTTCCCCCTCCACATTTTAGACATACGTGAGAGTGTTTGGCTGCCACTATAAATTCCCACAAGCCACTTCGTTGCACCATCCTTTGTGGCCAGGTTCGCTTCTGAAAAAGATCTACATAGCTCAGGTGGGCTTTAGCTGGTAAATAAAAATGGTTTAGTTTATAGTTTTATTCACATTAGGACCCAAAGACTCAGATAGAAACCAGATGCATTCTAAGACCATGCTAATTACATGTTTGTTTCAGAGTTGACTATGTACGGTTTGAAAAGGTCACACAAATTCATGCGCCCACTGTTTGGCGTAGCATCTTGAGCTGCGACCACATTCGAACGCTGCACAAATCCAAAAAGTTTTGCCTTTATAAAAACCACGCACAAAATAACTTTGCTCGTCCAGAGACTCATTTTTCAGGAGGGTCCTGCCATACTGGGATGATTGACCAATTACATTATTAATGGCGAGTGTTTGGCTTTGTGCGAGGAAATCGGAGAAGCTGGGAAACAACCCATGCAATGTTCTACCCAGTCTGTCCGTCCGCATCCGTTGTTCCGTCCGTTCCCCCGTCTATCTATTTATTCACTCTTACTTCCGTGCCTCTAGTGTTCCGTCCACAATTATGCTTCGGTCCTGGATGCATTTTCCAGTCTCTCTTCATTAGTCTGTCCCTGCACCTCACCACATGTGCCACGATCTTTGCCTCTTCATATGCGTCAGTCCCTCTGGTCTCTCCGTGCCTCTGCAAGTGCCCGCGTCTGTCAGTACGGGGCCCATTTCCCCGTAACCTGTTTGCGCTCTGCTGCAGATTAAAATCTGCCGGTGCGGCGTCACGATAGCGAATTAAATTAAACCGCGCCGCTCACCGCGACGGTGGCAGTGCAACAATGGCGCTATTGAGCAGACAGCTGCGTACACATGATCTCATCTCCTGCGCTCAGAAAAAAGCATCGTGGCAAACGCCACTTAATTTTAAAACGCGCGCGTACAGGAACACACACGTATGCAGGCACACACGCACCACGGACAAAGAACCCCCTATGGCCTCAAACTGGTTGGGGTAAGTGTAGCTAGCGAGCACCTATGAAGGCCAAAGTGGCGTGGCCAGAACCACGTCGAGCAGCCCTATGACCTTTTTTCAAAATGTACAACTTCAGCAGTGCTGGTTGTTGCTGGCCAGAGGAAACAGAATCAGTGCAATATGAAGTCATGCATACATAGAGATGAGGACACAGGGACAGACAGTTGGTCTGGTTAGAGCAGGCAAGGTTGCACCTCCGATTAGCGCAGTTAGCTACGTACGTTCCTAAAAGAAGTTCAACATGCAAGGTCAAGTTTAGCTAAGGTCTCGGATCAAGTGGGTCTTACCCTTGGGTATGCCGGTAGGAGTTGGGTGCCGCACCCTGCGATCGGATGTCTGGAACCCACCGCCACTTCCACCACCATCGCCACCACCGCCGGCTGACGCGGCAGCACCACCAGACGAGGCTGTGCAGGAGGGTGCCGGCCCGAGACTTCAGAACAGTGTGGTGCTGCTGGTTATGGCTGTTATTGTCATAGTTATGGCGATTGTCATCGTGGTGCTGCTGATGGTTATTGTTGTGGTGGTGGGGGTGATCCCCCCTCTGCCTGGCAACCGCCACGGCGATACCAACGGGCGGGTGTCTAACCTCGCCAGCGCCGACTGAAGGGCGGCCGCGTCGCTTGGTGGGTGGCACGCGTCACCGCAAGCACTGGAAGTGTCCGGCCCCGCCGTGCCGTCGGGGCCTCGCGGCACCGGCCCAGCCCGCCGAACGGACTTCTCTGACCGGAGGCGGCAGTGGCACCGTTGGACGGCACAAACGGTGACGGCGATGAAGACAGCGACGACGAAGCCGACGCCGACGAGGAGAACGAGTCGCTGTACTGCAGGAGGCCTCTGATAGCCGGCGTCGCCAGGCGTGGGTTCCGGCGCCAGCAGCACGGGCGGCCGCTGCGTTTGCCACGCGGCGAGGTCGTACCGGGCAGCGGCACCACCACCATCGGGGTCCTGGTGGCCCGCCGACAGCATGTACGTGGGCGCCACCGGACGGTGCTCACCAGAACTGCCATGGGCTACCGAGTTGTGGTGCAGCCGCCCTGTGGCCCAGCCCGCATGATGCATAGGAGCTAATGGCGCCGGCACACTGGCGCTCCTTGGGCTTTGCCGATCTCACCCCGGCGCCCACCGCGTCGTCCCTCTCGTCCGGGGCGAACCCGTCTCCGCCGACACCCATGGAGTGCGACCGCACCACCCTCGCCAGTTTGGCATCGCCGGATCTCGTCATATCGCCGGCACCGCCGTCACCAACTCTGCCTGGCGGTTGCACCGAGCAGACGACTCTGGTGCCGGCATCCCAGGCAGGGGCCCCATCGCGGTTGGGTGGCTCCCCCGCCAGGGCGGTGCCCGCCCTCCCCCGCCGGTCACCCCGCACTGCCCTCGGGGTGCCGCTGGCTGACGAGGGCCGCTCCGAGTCACGGGCGCCGGTCCGGGCCAGCGCCCGCCCCTCTCGCGGCGCCGGGAGGTTGTCGGCACTGACATCACGGTGGAGAACGGGCTGGACCGGCAGAGCCCCGCCGAACGCACCGTCTGCCAGGAGAAAGAGAGACCCGCCCCGGACGCATCACTGGGAACGGCGCCGGCGAGTGCACATCTCTCCACCCAACCGCTACTACAGGCGGCCTAGCGCGGTGGGGTCAGAGTCGTGTCTGGCCAGAAATGTGGCGTACCTGTGTGGGTCGTGCGGCCGCGACAGACAGGGGGACGCCGTGGGCCCCGTGCCGTCCAGTGGCCCCAAAGCAAGGTATGGGGGGTAGAGCCCCCACTGCTCGGCAAATGGGAGAAGCCTGTATAACAGCCGTGAGCACACAACCGGAGCCGCCCCCCCCTACCAATCATCATCCGAAATCACACGTTCATCGCTGCAAGCTTCATTACCAGCACCACTTGTCCGCCACCATTATCACTTACAGCACCATCAATCAGCCCATCAGTAATGGAATGCGAGGTCGCCAGATTCGTAGTGCGGTGCACGAACCACTAGTCCTACCATTCACGCACACACGGACATTACGTACCGTCGTGTGGTGGTGGTGGTGGCGCCGCCCACACGTGCGTCATGGCGCCCTGTGGTGCCATCTGGAATCCACGGTCAGCAGAGCTCGACATAGCGGGCGGTGTGGCCGAGCCCCCCATTGAGCCTCCCCCCAGTGGAGCACCCAAAGGGCCCCCCAGGAAGCTGCCCAGGAACGCAGTGGGTGCCCCCAGGGCAGGGCTCCCTGCAGCAGCATGCGGGTGGGGGGGGGGGGGGGGGGGGGGGGGGGGGGGGGGGGGGGGCAGGTGGTGGCCAAAAGGGATTCACAGTTATAGAAAAAAATTTTTATCCCACTTGTTTACCCAGCCTCAGTCACAAATCCTTTTCAGTAGGGTCCTGCCAAGTTGTTGGTGATGGGGGGGGGGGGGGGAATTAGAAGGGCCACAGATTCAAATGTGCAATTGTAGAAAATTTGGAAAACATGGACACGTGACGCCCGCATGCAATGGCCGACACTCGAGTGACGTCACGGGATCTTAGCGGTCCGCTGTGAAGCAGACAGCGCTTGGTGTCGTTACCAGTTCATACGCGCATCGCGGCAAATCTGTTGTCAGGTCTACTTTGGGCAAGGACTATTGGAGCTTAGAAGCTCATTTATTTCTTCCCATGGTGAACGAGGTTATAATGGGAGATTCAGCCCAAGATCGGCGGATAGGAAAGGGAGGGTTTACAGGGGGCGGAGTAGAACAAAAGCAGGGGAATGTTAAGATGACTCGTAAAAAATATGAAAGTAATAAACCACCAGAACTATGTACAAAAAAGGAAGTAAAGCTGGAAATCCAAAAGACAAATTAAGCGCGACCACTGGCGAGGGGAAAAAAAAACGCGTGGCATTTAAAAAAAACCCATCAAGAATAAGTTGCAATTCCGCAATTTGAAAATCAAGTCTCAAGCTCCAGTCAATTGGTTGTACGAAAAAAATGGCATGCAAGCGTTGGCAGTAGTCGCCGATATTAATGCCCTCAAATGCAGACGAAGAAGGCTGGGTCGGAAGAGATGACATTCATTTCAGAATTCGGTTGCCACAATTGAGAAGGTCCTTGAAACATTTGAAAAAAAAAAAATCACATTGTTATCATTTATAACAAAAGTCAGTGCTATAAAAAAAAATGGACCAGGCCTGCCTCCTGGATTTGAAATCAAACCTCATGACTCGCAGCAAACACCATCCCCGCAGGGCCACCCGTCAAACTCGCGATACATTTTGGCAAACGGTGTGCAAAATTCAACGTGGGTTTAAAAAAAAAAAGAAAAATCTATATTGTGCACAATTATTTGACGTGGACTCCCCCACCCACAGCCACTGGTATTTCCGTACGTAGCATCCACGGAAATACAAGGACGAAAAAGCATGCACACGCATGGCTTGCCCTCAGAACCATTTGATTGGTGGTAACAATGCGCGTAAAGTCGAGAAGGGAGACCACATAGCAGGTGACGGGTACGCACATTGCCAGAGGATGTCAACATGTTTTGGAAAACCCCTTTGGGAGGAACCTTTCCATCAATTTTTGCCAATTTTCTCTAGAGCGAGCAGCTTGTAGCATACAACTGGATGATAAGCGTTAGTTCATACCGAATCTTCTTAAGGAGTTATGGCGACCGCACGTTACACAACTAAAAAAAAAAGCATCGTCAATGCTTTCACCCTTGATTGGAAGCGGTTATAAAAATTGATCAGACTGAACCAGTGATTTACCATCTCCCCTACACAGCAGAAACACAAAGCGCCCCCATATAGCCTTTGGGCAAGTGCCATTTGCACCACAACTGGCCACTTTGGGTTTCCACAGTGCTGATGTTTACATGGTCACACAGGGTACTCCTTTAGGGCAGAGCCGATCTAGGGCAGGCCCAGAACCAGTTTGCATATTCGCCACTGTTCTGGAGGCGAGCGGGAATCGAACTCGGGTCACCGGGTTCGTTAGTGCCAACTCCCTACGACACAAAATAGGAGTTCGCACAGAATTACCTCGATTGCAATCTACACAGCAACCGTCGTCTGCCACTGCATAAAAAAGACAAGTATAACCCGTAAAACAAAGTTTTTCACTATAAATCCTTTATATGCGTGGCGGCTAGAGTCCTCTCGTCCTCTGGCTTGAGATGGCTGCCACCTATGGTCAGATGATTGCATTGCACCATTAAGCAATTGGTAATTAAATATAATATTTTTGTCCTAAAAAAAAGTGTAAAATTTTGAAAAAAATTTTCACGAACAATTAAATTGTCACGCACAACGAGTCTGTGGAAAATGTCAGCTCGATTGGATCACGGGAAGTGGGTTAAAAAACGACCGAAAGATTTGCACGGTCGTAAGCAAGCAAGCGAACTTAATATAAAGGATTTAAAAATGGTAGGATTCTCCTGAAAGACAGTCATGAGACTCGAAAAGCTTTCCCGGCATAAAAACCACTCATCCCCCGGGCACGGCAATCTACCACACGCAGACTTTGTACGGCCACCATCGCTCCTAACGATTTCTGCAGACACGGTCCAGACGGTGGGGGTGGTAGCGGCGGTGATTGTGATGGCAGGTGTGGTGGAGTTGGTTGTCGTTTCAGAAAAACCACAACGGCCGCCATTCACCAAGTGGTGGTGCCTTCACCACGACAACTTGTGCCAGACTAGTTCACTGCGGAGGCGTGGAAGACTCGCTGCTCCTAGCAGGTCACGAGGAACAGATCCAGGTGTTGTTACAGGTTACCCAGAGTGATTGTGCCCATTGGTTATCACACCCCCCATCATCATGCTCCCAACTTTACACATCCCTCTGTGGGTGCGAGTAAAGGGGTGGGGGGGGGGGGATTTGTGAGTGGAGGTGTGGATTGGGGGAGGGGGTATGGGAGTGGATGCGAGTGGGGGTGGTCTTATGGGAGGGTTGCTTTTATGGGTGCGGGCATAGGAGCGCGGGTAAGGGTGTGGGTGTAGGGGGCGAGTGGATGTGGCCGTTGGTGTTTGGTTAATAACCCAGCCCCCTCGTCTATTCTTCAACTCCTTCAAACAATGCACACCTAGTGTAAACGCTCAATGTCATGGACACACCTTTACATGCACCCTCGTACACACACACACACCACACAATGTACAGCCTCTAAAACTGGTTACAAGTACAAACGTGTGCATCGGATAATGTTTAGTTTAGATCCTATCCAGTGTTCAACCTCAGCTCACCTACCTCACCCACCTCACTCAGATTCCTGCAGGTCGAAATGAGATGGATTTCTGACAAGGATACGCGTTGCACTGAGATCAGTTAGTCAAATCATGCGATTTGTAGCTGGCCGCTTTGAGCCCCCGTCCTCAGCTCTAACAAAAGCAAAATACAAGTTCATATTCGCGATGCACAGTACTCCAAGTACAGAATTGCACGCACCAAAAACCTACCCTCAAAACTATTATCCCCCGGGTAGCCTTTTAAACAAGGCCGTTTAGGAAAAGTGTTGTTAGCAAGCACCTATTCAGGGCAGCATGGGTGGGAGGGGCCGCCAAAAAGCAACATGTGACTGGTTAAGGTCAAACCACAGGTTCAGATAATCACTCGCCAAATCTAAAAAACGCAAGGTCAGAGTTTCCAAGGCCGTGCACTAAACCACCACTTCCCACCTCCGACATCCTCTGGGTTTACAGATTTGAAAAAAAAACATCTCTCGCACGTACAACATTCTCTACACTCACATTTATTACACAAAGACAAAGCCAGCCACCGTATAGCCTCAGCCTGTTAGGGCAAGTGGTGTTGGTGTGGCCAGAACCTCCTTAGTCTCGCCGGGGGGTAGAGGGGCGAGAGAGAGTACCGACGTTTTAGACGCAGTGCCAGGTCCGGTTCAGGAGATTCGTCACCGATGTTTGGCTACGAGCTCGTCGGGTTTGTAGCGTACCAACCACTGCGCCACCGCTCCCCACACAAGCACTCATTACACACACACTCCTTCACAGCACGCTCTCACTCGGGCCCGTGAGAGTCGCGGCGGGGTACAGGGAGAGGCCGGTTCTCTCAATGCATTCCTCTCCACCCCCTCTACGGGCCTCTCCCACTCTACATCAATTGTGGTGCCTCTCCCCCGATCACCACCACAACCACATCACCACGACAATAGCCGCTACCACAGCACCTCCGCCACCAACACCACACAACTACCACCACAACTGTACTCTGTTCTTCACCACAACGGTAGCAACATCCACGACAACATCCCACCACCACTGTACTCGCCAACTACCATAAACAACCACCACAACAGCTGCCAAAATCCACCCACACCACCATCACAATCTCAATAAACACCATCAACAGAAATCACTGCCCACCATCTCAACACACACACACACCCCGCAATCTCAACGACACCAAATCCACCACCTCCATCAGACCACCGCCACCACCTTCCCACGGCCCCGTGTCCCCGAATGACCCCGCCTCCCCCACCGCAGCAGCAGCAGCAGCACGGCCAGACAGGGGTCCCCTACCCCCCTCGCCCGACGCGGTTCAAGTTTAGACCCCGAAGTGCAAACACAAGGGAGGGTGGGAGTGGGAGGGGAAGCTTTGTATTGAGTGTGGAGGGGAGGGGTTAGGAGCCTGTGCCCAACAGCCCCTCCCCTACAGGCTCCTCATTCCCGCAGAAGCCCCCCTTATACGAGGGGGGCAGGGATGGGGGGGGGCATTAACGCCACATTGCTGCTCCCCCACAGATTCCTCGTGAAACTCGCCGCTGCACCGGGTTTGGCAAAACCATCGTTCCACTTCTCCCACCGCTCTCTTCTCATTCCTCTTGCAATTTCCCTCCGTCCTCTTCCACATATCCACATTTCCGCCTCCCCTTCACCCCCACCCCCATCTCCCTCGTCTTCGCTCCTGCTCTCATTACCTCTTCTGCACGTCTCCCACGAAACCCGCCTCTCCTCTCCATCTTCTCACACCCCCCCCCCCCCTCACTTCTTCTAAAACCACGACCTCCATGGGGTGAGATTGTGCGCCTCCACGCGAGTCTATTGTGGGTGCAGACACACGCACACACATGCGAATACATGCGTGTGTACACACGCACACACATGCGAATACATGCGTGTGTACACACGCACACACATGCGAATACATGCGTGTGTACACACGCACACACATGCGAATACATGCGTGTGTACACACGCACACACATGCGAGTGTATACCACAAGGGGAGAGGCG